TTGCAAATTCAATACCTGGGCCGAGCAGTGTGTACTTGAACTCAATGAAAACATGCAAGCAATAACTGAGCAGTATTATATTAAATAGTAGACTAGATATCCTTCGACATGGGCAGCAGAACAAGAACAATCTAACCCCATCAATTAAATAAAGGGTTCAGTTTAGAATTCTCTGAGGGTTACCTGGATCAACATGACCTGATGAAGCCTGGAGGGAATGACAGCTGAATTGTTGTAGCAACAACAAAGATGAGGACAATAGTCCACATGTAAAATAGTGTAAATAATGATAATGCCACACCCCAGAAATTCAGGCAGAGTTTTTTTTGGGGGGGGGTGTTAAAAAAGAACATCAAAAATTATGAATTTCAAGAGTTTCAAACTAAAAAAAGTATAGATGAGAGAGTTTTTTTCTTTCTTTTTTTTTTAAATCAATTCATGTCATAATGCCACTAAGATGCAAGGAGGTGCTGGGAGTGAAAGAAAATAAGAAGACTTTAGAAGAACCAGAAATAAGGGATAAACCTCTACTCCTGTACAAGAGATCAGTGCAAAGATTTTAAAAAATAAATAAAATTTAAGAGTTTAGGTGGAGATGTCAGAAGTATAGATTTGAAGTAGACTTTTGGAAGAACCTGAAACCTAACCCTAAAGAGTAAACAAGGGATAAACCTCTAGATAATAAAACAAGTGCTGCAAGCAAAATGACTAAAGTAAATTTTAAAATTTTCATGAAATCAATTACTTATTTTCCCAACTTATCTGCTATAAGAAAGAGTTTTTTTTTAGGGGGTTCGTTATAAGACCTGCTGATAACAATGATTCTTCCAGGACTCCCATCACTATGTTTTCTCAGAGTCTCTCTTATATATTGGTTGCATGTGAACATTTTTCACATTATTTACATTATTCGGACTATTGTCCTCATCTTTGTCGCCATATTTATTACAACGTTTCAGCTGTTGTACACTCCAGTCTTCTTCAGGTGGTTGGAATGTCAGACTGAACCCTTTATTTTTCTCACTGGGGTAGACTGTTCTAGTTCCACATGCCATGTTTAATGAATGTCAGTTATCAGTTATCTCCTGTTAATTTCCCTCTGAAAGTTCTCCACTGCCTTGACCGGGTATTGAACTCACACTCTTTGGGTCTTGTCACTGGATCTAACCAATGCCTTTATCCACTGAGGACATCTGTGTATGAATTTCTGGGTATTATAAACCTAATGTCACAGTAACCATTTTTACCAGTGCTCATATTGCAATTTTTGCTGTTATCATTTCATGTTTTTACCAGAGCTCATATTGCAACTTTTGTTGTTATTGATTTTCTCAGGCATTCCTTATTACTGGTTCCCATATTGTATTCATTTCTATGCTTGGTCGGCTCAGGAGATTTTTGTGGACTAGCATATGTGCTGATTCCTTAAGTTTACGAATTTTCCAGCGGTGTTTCTTGTCTATGATCTCAACCTGATCCCACAGAGGGCAGTGATCTCCCTTCTCTTTTCATATGTGGTTAGCCACGCCTGATTTTTCCACTTCTCCTCATGTTACAACTTTCTGGTGTTCTTGAAGCTTTACCTTAAGGGGGCAGTCTGTCTCCCCTTTATATTTCTTTCCAGAGCGTAAAACGGCCGAAACGTTGTAATAAATATGGCTACAAAGATGAGGACAATAATCCGAATAATGTATATAATACCTCATCTCAGAAATATAGACAGAACATTTTTCAATATATTACAGGTAATATTCATTAAAATAAATATGTGGACTAAAGATTGGTATAGAGTTATTTTAAAAACAATATTTTATATATATATATATAAAAAGACATTTTATGTTTGTACATTCTTTTTATAGATACAAATATTTAAGTAAATGCTCTGTTTATAATAAACAGTATTAAACAACATTTACTGGCCTGAATGTCCGAGAAATCTTCATAGAAAATATTTGTCCTCTGACAGGATTCAAACCTGTATCCTATACGGAACTGTCATATAGCCTGACATGCCTTTTAACCGATTCATCCACAGAATGAAATAATTGTCAGACTTTGTCCATCCATTTCATATATATATATATATATATATATATATATATATATATATATAAAGCACATTGCCACTTTAAAAAAATAAAAAATAGGAATATGTTAACAGAACCCCCTGAGATTAACCCAGCACAAATTTGAGATTTCTGACTTGATACCTTTTGAAAATTTTCATCCAATATTTCTCGTTTTTATATCTCATGCAGTGTCATATCGGATAAATGAATGGAATCATCTGATTATGGAGTTAAGCATGGTTGAGGGAAGTTAGCATTGAGTCCATTGCTATTTGTACCTTCAAGTAGTAAACTTTCTATTTCATTGCTTACCTACGAGTTTGTCTTCCTTATTAATTTCCCTCTGTTATCTTGAAAACACAAGATACAACATGTAGTCATACTATTAGTATTCTTATAAAAATCTATGATAGCAAATTGTGTATCTCCTGGGCCCAGTCCCAGTCAAATTTCAATGCTCTTTCACCACCAACTGAACCAATTAGTACTATAAAGAGATTATTTCAGGTTACCAAATGCTGCTGCTGTTTCCAACTACCAGTCATGTATATAGATCTATTTCACTAAAGAGACCAATTAAATTTGGGTGTTATTTTGATTATGATGGGAAGGGAAATATGTATGTATGTGTAAGTGAATGAGAGCCAACTTTAGATTTTTAGCCATAATCTTGATGACTTTGAATTTAGGCCTGAAATCACAGTTGCAATATTTTTTCTAACAAAAAGATGATCCTTCTTCGTAAGCCATTACAAAATTAAAATTCAATACACAACAATATTAACATGAGATAACTCATGGTTGGCAGTTTTTATTATGATGCAGACTGAGTTATCTCATACTTGGCATTTTTTCATACATTTTCATCTGGTTGTCAATGAGTTTATTCTCAGTGAAACATTTAGTATGAAAACAATGTTAAAACTTCATCCGACACTATAAATCAACACTTTCCATAGAAATAGCAATAGAGCAGCAAGAACTTTGCAAAGTTTTATCTGTAAAAAGGGGATTGAAGGGTGGAAAATAATTAGTCACCTACAAGGCTGTGGAGACACTTTTGGATTCTATAGAGACTGGAAAATGAAGACTGGACAGTTCCTGCCCATATATGGCAGCAGTACTCCATTTTCGGCCTGATCTGGCTCTTGTAAAGGAAGGGAATAACAGGAAGAGTCAGGTACTTACTGGAGCAGTAAAGGAAACTAACCCTTTTTCCAGCATCTTTAGTGATAAATCATGCAAGAGAGAGAGAGAACTTCAGTTGAATTTTAGCCACAATCTTAATTACATGGTTGGTGGCTTTTATTACGATGCTGACTGAGTTATCTTGTGCTTGGCATTTTATACATTTTCATCTGTGGTTGTCAACAACTAAGATGTTAAGGCTTCAATTGAAGCTATAAATCAACTCATAACAACTTTTTTATTGCCTAAGTTGGTTATTATAAAGTTGGTGTTTTGAAGTCAGATTTCATAATTAACCTCTGGCAGGTCAACATGTTAACTTAGGTAGAACTTTAAGAAAATAACATTTTAAAATTAGAAAATGAACAGAATTGTTATTTATTAAACAAAAGATTCTTTTGCAATCAATTTTTTTTTTGTACATATTTTGCAAATTCTGTTTGATTTTTTGAGATGTGGCATCATATCATATCATATCATATATCATACTTATTATAAAACCCAGGTTGTGTGTGTGTGTCTGTACGTTTATATATTGGATTGGATTTCCTACATTTTTCAACCGATTTCAACAAAACTTCACAGGACTACGTAAAATTACCTTGCAGTGGTTCTGACGGCACCAAAAATTGGAAAAACAATTGTTTTTGCACAAAATCAATTTGAAAACACGATTAAGAGGCATCGCGAGAATAAAAGGGGGACAACTCATATCGAGTTATACTTATTATAAAACCCATGTTGTTTGTGTGTGTGTTCATTTATATATGGGATCGGATTTCCTACATTTTTCAACCGATTTCAACAAAACTTCATTTTTTTTTGGCAGATAGTGTTTCTTATTGTCTTGCATACTTTTTTCTTTATTTTTACATTCAGAATGCTTTAAAAATTCCATTTACAAGACAATTGTTTATAATAAAATTCTATTCAATTGGTAGACTCATAACGATTGAAATCAATGTTTTTGTTTGAGTTTGGGTTTGACCAATTCGTAAAAAAAAAAAAAAAAAAAAACTAATAATCTTTGTCAATTTTATTTTTCAGTATTTATGATGGTCGATACTTGATCTATCTCTTATTGTTACATACCCGGGCAATGCCGGGTTCTACTGCTAGTTATTAATATACTTTTAATTTATTGAAACATTTGTTCTCATCTTTGATTGTCATTGCGGTTATCATAAACACAATGTTTCAACCAAGTCCACTCTGGCCATCTTCAGGAGTCCATTATTTTTGGCTAATAAGGGATGTGCTGTATTCTTTTTGGCTCAGATAATTTGGATTTTACTACCTGATCCAGAGATTGAACTCACAACCACTAAGTGACAACAACATTTAATCAATGCCTGTATTTGTTCTGTCACTGTGCCAAAGGACATCAGTGCATTTCATGGCAAGGTGACATGTATTATCAGAGTTCAAATGGGACATAATAATGGGTGACAAACAGATGGGACATTCCATTTCTAAAATTGTTTAAGACATTTTCACAATAACAAATGACGAAGTAAAACCACTAACACTTATTGTTAAAGTCATTTCCAAATTTAAAAACTAAAGCTTTTAAAAATAGTTTTGTAATTAAAATCACTTTTTCATTGTTACCATTTTACTGATAAATTTTCCTAACAGCAGTAAATGCTATTGAAGTGTATGAAATTTCAAGACCCTAACAATGTTATATAACCCGATACAAAAACTGAAGCCAATCAGGAACTTTTTTAAATGACACACCTTAAGAGCTTCAAAATGATTATTTCTGGAAACCAGGAGGATTGTCTTTGGAGCAAACATGAGTGAATGGTGAACGAGGGTGGATCCATCTTGCTCTTCCTCCTCATCATCAGGTTTTGTGGGCGTCATGGCAACTGCTTCGTTGAATGTCATGCACGCACAGTAATGTCTGTCGGCATCGATGTCTGTCAGCACCGCCACAAAAAATGTGGGCTGCTGCCTTTGCGTTGATAACTGCCATCCAGCTGGTTGACAAAACTGAAATGAAAAGAAAATAAATTCTTCAAAATATATTCAATACAGAAATAAAAAATATGCGTAGAAAAATAAATATTGCTGATGATTATATTTCTGAAGCTGTAAAACCTTAACCTCTACCAGTCGCAAAACAATGAAATGCTTTATTTATACAATTATCACATACAAACATTTTAAAAGATTCTTTATCCATTTCATTTGCAGGTTTTACGTGGACAACAAGGCATTGTTCATGAATTTATTAAACAACTTGTGATTCATAAACAAACATCATTCATTACTATGTATACACAAAAATGTGTTATTTCTCTTGAGCTATTAGGAAAATAATTTATACTGAATTACAAACATTAAGAAATATGATTAAATCAATTTCATGAAATAAAAATCAATTGGCACACTTATCAATCTTAATTTATTTCTCCACCTCACTTCAATATCCATTAACAGATTAAATTAAGGCAAAAGCAATTGTTTTCATGAAATTGTCCTTCAACACGTCTTGCAAAAAATGGAAATCTTAAGAAACAAGATATAAAATATAAAAATGCCAAGTTTTTCAGATTTTTATTTCAAATTTATCTCTGGAAAGAAATTAACATTAATTCGTTTTCACAAATAATTGTTTCTTTAATGAAAAAGTTTTAATGTAAATATCTAAAGCTTTGTTTTCTTTTTACAACATTACTTTTTTTTTTCTCTCAATGTCATTATCATTTGAAGAATTGTTATTTGATTGACAATCATATTTGCAATCACCATGATAGTTTTTAGGAACACATTATTTTTCTTGGTGACATTCCATTTATTCAGACAAATAAGCAGTCTCTTTTTCATTTTACAGGCACTGATGCCAACTCTCTTTTTCCTCTTATGTCTCCAAAAACCCCAATCTTGATCTTTTAAAAATTAACAAAGGGCGGAGCTTTTGTGATAAGAGACTCAATGCCTAGATTGTTTATAAGGGTGACAAGGATTCAAGATAATGCTTGCTTCTCATTGAAAAATTGATTTGGTCATTCTCAGACTCATCATCAATGACTCATAACAGACAGAACATATCCATGATTTGATTTATTGTGCAACTGCTTCCTTAAAAGATGCTAACTTTTGTATTTAGCGAAGTATGGTACAGAGGTTTGAGTTTCAAATGTTGTCAGTGTGAAGATTTGTTTTTTCTAAACACAAAAATATAAAAGAATATGCAAGTTCCAAACTCAAAGACTTGATAATTATCTCATGTCATACAATGTTCAGTGTCAAATTATTGCGGTGGTCCTTAATTATCAACATCATTAAAAACATGTGGTGATGTGGTTATTGCCAAAATTTATGTATAATCATCCTTTGTCTACAATTTGCAATTGGACAAATGTTTTTGCTATCAAATGAACTACAAAATTATTTTTATGTTTTTAATAAAATCTTAACACAAATCAGATATCTTGTTTAAAAAAAAAAAAAAAAAGATGCATGTAGCTAGGATGAAAGTTTCCCTTTTAACTCAATATCTGATAATAAAAAAATATATATATACTAACTGCTGGGAGACCAAAGTTCCCACTTAAAATTTCTTATCACTGTTAAGCATAAATAAATCCTGAATCAAGAATCTTTAAGATTCCTTCTAGGATTTCCTGTAAGAAGGCTGACATTTTTTTTTCATCAGATAAAGCAATGCAAAGTGTTAAAAAAGATATCCCAGGCTGTTGGTAAGTTGTAAATTCCAAAAATCTGAGAAAGCTTTTGCCATAAACCAGATACCTACTTCATCTATCTTGAACTACTAACCTAAATATATTTTTGAATAGGCAAGGATAACAAACCAGAAAGGATTTAAATCAGAATTTAAACACAATCGTAGAAGTAAACAGTTTCACAAATATCACAGAAGTAAAAATTTTCACAAATTACACAATACAAATACAGTTAACACAATTTGCCAAAAAAAGTAAATAATTAACCAATAATGCCATTTTAACACTTTTACTGCTGCATTGTTATAGCATTATTGCCTGGCTGTTCTGGCTCATTTAAGGAAAAAAAAAGTTTATTTGCTGAGCATTTAGACTAGCAAAAATTTCTCATGGACACCAACATTTGAGAAAATATTTTCTAGTACAGCCTAAACTAAATGACATCCCAACACACATAATAAAAATACAGGAAAATAAAAACAGGTTGTACTGTATACTACCCAGACAAAATGCATCAGAAAGAAATTTTTCCACTTTGTCATTATTATGCTTAACATTGTTCTGATATATAAAAATTTATATATCATTCTCCCACACTATTATATATCTATGCTGGTTTTGAAATAGCACTAAGTACTAGCTAGCCTATAATACAAATGCTAAAGACCAATATCCTGTCAGTGTGTGTGTGTGTGTGTGTGTGTGTGTGTGTGCTGAGAGTAGGTAATGTAAGTCTCAAAGATGTATATGTACATCCACAGCAACAGAAGTATTAATAGATATCAACTATTGTTTCACTTCTTGAAGATAGAGTAATATTGCATAATGTCATTCTCACATAATTAAGCACAAGACATTCAAAACGTGGTATTATTTATGAGAAGAAATAACACTGGAAGTTGGAAGTACTCAGGTCAGAGGTCAAAGTCAAGGATATGATTGACTATAATGAGTAAAAAGATTCTTTAATCCTGATAATGGTAAAGTCTAACTTTGATTCACAGACCTTCTTAAAGTGAAGGAAATCACATGTACAACTAAGAAATGTCTTTTTTTACCATCTTTGTTGTCAATTAAAAATTAGTTATTGTCATTATTCATATACATCTATGGTCATGTATAGTAACATGTAAAGCAATTAGTAGCATAAGAGAAAAAACAAAATATATTATATCTTTATCCTTTTACTATCAGTTCATTCTTTTTTAAAAGAATAAAAAGAAAAAACAAACAAGAAAAATCAAAGGCCATGCCAAATTATGGACTTCTTACATAGGTGTGAAAACATTGGTCTCAAGCTTTTCAAGTTGAACTCAAGAATCCATAGAAATTGGGTTTTATTGCTGTAAAAAGTAAAGTTAAAGGGAGAAATGTGGTCTTCAAAGAAGAGGAATTATTTACCAGCTTTGTTGTTAATTAGTTTTTTTTTTTAGTTATTTTCTATTGGATTTTAATTTTTACTTTTAATTCTTTTCTACAAAATACTTTTATTAGAATTCTTAACTTTGATGCAACAACTGCAAAAGAAAAATGAAAATTTCTCTAAAAAAATTTTGTTTTTTTTTGGTTTTTTTTAAGTGTTTTAAAAAGAGTATTAAAATAAAAGCTTCAAGATTTTTCATTATTAAGAATTCATTTTAAATGCAGGTATCGCATTTTTGTGGAGGTACTCCTGTCTCCTCCTGCTTCTCTTGAATTCAATGTACTGTGAGTACTGAATTCCCTAGGCACTCTTTCCTCATATGTCCCAGAAATTTCAGCTATGCTATCAAAATTTTTTAATGACTATGGTAGTCATTTTCATGGTAAGAATGAATTTCAAGCATCACTTGAGTTTTTCTGCACCTCCTCATATATTATATACTAATAGGCAAGATAAATATTAAATTCTTTTTTGTTTTTGTTTTTTTCACCCTGAAATGGAATTTATTTTTGTTGAAACTATAAAAAAAAAAAAAATGTTTACTCTTTATTCTGATAGGTCAAAACTATGCAACAATAAACTTGAACTGAAACAGTAAAATACGTTTCCTTTTGACAGATTTCTAAGGATTAACAAAATTACAAAAAATTATGTAAAAAAAATTATGTAAAAAAACTAAAATCAAGAACACATTTACTGTAGGTGATGAGAATTTTTATCATTGCCATTTTATTTCTCAACCGTCAGTCAGTTAAGTGCCATACGTGAAACACACATGGGAAATCCTGTCTCTTTCCAGTCATGACTGACTAGGCAGAAGATTTTCCTGCAATAGGATGCAGTTTCCTTCTGCAGTAGGACTGATTAGCAGCCAAGGCTACAAGATCAAGTCTGTCCTGCTATTCAACCCATAGCTGGGGAGACAGGAGAAATGATGGATTCATACCTTTCGCAAGGATATTTGCAAGTAAGCCAATGTAACAAACTTGACTGGAATTCAAACTTGGCTCTCCAATTTCTCATTCTCAACAGTTTGATATTTATCAATTTAACTATTCTCAGACATTTTATATGATAGTTAAAAAGAGCATTCCTTACTCTATAGTGTGGCTGTTCTGTGTATTCTGTGTGATAAGCAACCACTCAAGAAATGTCTAAACAGACATGCTGATACACTGTAAATGTCTAAGTGGAAATGATCTGGTTATTGAATAATGGAGCCTTAATACATGCTAAATGCATACAAGAAAAAGTATATTTATTTAAAACAAATCAGAGAATGATTATTGATGAATTCATTTATTTCTTGATTGTTAAAACAATATTCAAGAACACTATCTCACACACAATCAAAAGCAGAAAGAATAACAAAAAAACAAGGAAACATTTTTGAATTTTAATTCAATTCTTTTTCCTTTTTAGATTCCATAATATAATTTAATAAAAGAAAAAACTAATAAAAGAAAAAACTAAAAAAAAAAAAAAAAAAGTTGTCAAACAAAGTGTAAGGTTTTAGATAGAAAACTCCACCTAACTAGCAGCCTTGGCACAGCAGGGATAACTGAGATGGATTAAGGCCCTTGCAATAGTTAGCTAGCAGTCTGGTACAGAGAAGAGGTTAGAACGACATGTGCTGCAACCAATGTTCATACTCACACCACAGATAAAATGTACTGTTGGTCATTTTGCTATAAATATGTATAGTTAATATATATTTGCTGGTATTTTTACTATAAAAATATGTTTTTATAATTTCAGTGTTTTGTCTTTGTTTG